CGCCCCACCACAGCAAGCTGTAGGGGATGGGCAGGCAGCGTGGGGACGCCGCCCCACCACAGCGGGCTGTTAGGGGATGGGCAGGCAGCGTGGGGACGCCGCCCCACCACAGCGGGCTGTTAAGGGATGGGCGGGCAGCGTTGACTCTGTTTATTCACCGGACAGGTTTTTACATCTGTAAGTGATGATGAGGGAAATGATACGTGTATCGTTCAGGAGCTTGGCGTTTACGTTGCATCCCGCTATGCACGCCAGGTCGAGAATCGGCGATGCAACCTGCCAAATTAGTCACTAGACTTAAAAATAGCTCTGTGAAGGCGTACGAACCTCAGGAACATGCTGAACACCACAATTGTTTTTATTCATTATGTGTATATACTTTGGACGAATGATGCATAGGACGAAATAAAACAAACAAAATCTCGCAGTGACAGGTATTTTCAACCGCGGGTGTGCAAAATGCAAATTTCGAAATGTATAATGCATGCCACCCCTGCCTTTTTGTATTCCTCGCCGCTGACATCTTGTGGCATTTGTTTTCATTTGAATCAATATTTTCCGTGCATATGAATGCTGTAGTATGCATGGATCTGCCCCAACAGAAGAAGCTCTGCCTGCAGATGTCTTGGTAATGGGATAAACGCCACACAGCAACCTTCGACGTGGCTGATGGAACACCACCAGGATATCAGGCTGTATTTACAAGGTGAGTTCAGGGTTTTTTTCCTGATATCACCTTCGATATACCAGTAGTCACTGGTTAGAGTATGTTATCAACAAAAGTTGGTTATATTACAGGTTACCGGGGCTATTACAGGCTCCTGGTGATCATAAACTAAAAACGTCAAGCACTGGTAACAAAAAACAACGTTTGCTTGATGGCGCCGTTTAACCGGTACCTCCTGGTATCATGACGGTCACCTCAACTGTCCTCCTGGTATCCTGACGGTGGATAACTGTCAGCTAAAAGCTTTGAATTGATGAAACCGAAAAACGCGTGCTCATGGTCTTTTTTGCTTATGTCTAATCAATGTCAAGGAGACATTTTCTTAGAACAATATATGCGTTCAATTCGTCTCGTGTGATAGCGTTTTAACATCATATCACTTCAGTTTCAGTGTACCCATATATCCAACAATAGGGCACTTGTGGACATGTCAGCCCAGTTCGGTCTGTACCTTTGAGTTTGGCGTGAATTGACGCAGAATCCGTCAGTGACGCACCAATATATCTTATCGTCGCAGGCGATCCGAGCAATGACACAGATTCCAGTTCGGCTGAAAGCAAATGCTTGATATTTGGAGACACCTTGAAGCGAGCACCAAATATGATGAGACAAGTTCACTTATAACTATTAGTATACATTTTAAGTGGAAAAACTGCCCCAGACAGCTCAATTGTCTGTTTAGAAAATATGTTCCTCAATGCATCATGGCTTCATCACGAAATCGTAACCTGCCGAACATTAATTGGGAACCAACTGGCCGCCAGTATATCTGGAAATCGCGCTCACCTTCTCCAGATATGAACGCCTCGATAATGATATTTTTGTTTGGTCTTGATCGCTGCATGCCTTATGGAATGACTGGATTTGAATGACGTTATCATGACGTCATGAATGCCGAGGTGACTTTGAAATACTCGCCCCGTCTTGAAATGTTTTGAATTTTCGCAGGCGGGTAGCTCAGAAACTAGAGTACTCTTGCGTGTAGTATAAAAACCAGGGGGGCTTAGATCTTAGGAAAAGCGGAATGGTGAACAGCACCGAAAGGCCTTCAAGGTGGCTATTTCACTTTAAAACGCCATACCAATGTGGAACACTCCCTTCAACACGAGCCCAGATGGCCGGTTGGATACCCTTTGCTCATGTGAGGGTCGATCTGACCCTGCCAGAGATCTCAAGAACTAAGAAAGCTGGAGCCACCAAATTCGTAGGGTAAATTGGCCTGTGCGTAAAACCGCTTAGGTCAAAGTTCAAGGTACCTAAGTCACGACCTTCGGGTCAAATAAGGTCAAACAGGGTTTAACTCCAGGTCGGTCTCTCAAGTTACCCAGAAGCTGGACACCTGTTCAAGGCGAAAGGTCACATGCTCATTCAAGGCCAGTGATCTTTTTGACCTTTCGGAGGTCGTGTTGATCAGGATCATACAAGACCGCTTTGATCTTTGCATCTGAATAAGCGACTAAGATTACGCTAGGTAGTGTGCTGCTAAAAACATTGTTGAGCGGGATCATCTTAGGTCAGCGACCTATTCTGACCGTTATGAGTTTTATAGAAGATGCATAATGCACTTCCTGTTATCAATAAGTTTATAATGAGTACCAGAAACTACCCCATGCAGCAAGCCCCAGAGTACTGAAACAGATTGATTTTGACCTCTGTTTCACCTTCATACCCGACCCTGGGCAAATTAAATTTATTAATTCAGTTGCTGCGCTGCTTAAGAAAGTATCTTAGAGATGTATGGCTCAGCCTAACACTTCGTCGTTGCATCAGATTGAACGATTCCCTAGAAACTGACGTCGTTGAATCAATGGCCTGACTGATCTACCGCGGGCCAGCGACTTGACAAGGTATATCTAAATTTTTAATACCAAGCGATCCGCTGTTTAATCGTCTACAGCTTTGCAAAATTCGGCGCGACTACGTCGCACTGCTAGGAAACCATTCCGAAAAGCCCTCGGGGAGGGTCAACTTGACCTACACCTGAACCCCTGTTAACGGACTTTTGCCTAAAATGAGGTCAAGGGCTCTCGTTCGGAACTGGGGGTCATCGCTGGCACAGATTCTTTCCATTGTATCATTGTGGACTTGTAAGCTATCATATCTCTTTGCATTGCCAGAGGGAACCGACTAAAGCAAGAGACTGTCCGACATTCGAGATCCCGTCTCTATCCCTCTTCGGCAAATGTTCCCCTGACGGACTTGAGATCCCATGCCGCCACATAACCCTCTGTTAGGTACTATGGGCCTTGACCAATACATCGGCCCCTCATTGTTTAAGGTACCGCAATCAATGTAATTCACGAGCACCAGACATTCTTCCTACTTGGCCTACTAAATGGGCCCGGGCTGAGACCAACGCGGAACCAACTGCTCGGTGTTGGTGATCTCTGGCCGAAATGAAGGCCCGGGTTGTCACAGAGGCTCTCAGTTGAGGCAAGAGGCTTTCTGGCATGGGAGTTTACTGTCTACGAGCCGGGGTCATTCATGTAACTTGCAGCCAGCCGTTCAGTCTTCCAATCGGACCTTTGATCGCCGGCCCCGAGGGGCCCTTCGGCACCTGCTCGGGACCCTCAAACACTGCCCCTGGTTGACCTGGAGCCCCCTACCACACAGAATTTCATTCTAGTCACTGCGAGCCCCTTGCTATCACTGGCTGACTCTTATTAGCTTAGAGGCCTGACCAATGTAAATCGCGGACCCCAGCCTTGTCCCTGTCTAAGAAGTGAGCCACCAGGCACAGACTGTCACGGAGCCGGTTTGTCGGGACTGGTGGTACTCAAATGACGAAGAAGCCCTGCTCAAATCAGCAGCCCGATCGGCATAAAGAGCCCTCTGACTGACCTTTGAGGACTTTGCCTCGCGGGCCGGGCCCCTTAATTCGACCTCCGATCGGCCTTTCGGGCCCTCAAATTAGGCCCTTAATCACCTGTCCCGAAGGACCTGTCTGGCCCCTCGGGACCTAAGAAAGGGGAGTTCCACCGTGCCCCTTCCCCTATCAACGCCACTGGCCATGGCACAAGAAGTACATCTAAGTGAAACGCATTTTGTTCGAATTTGATTTACTTGCCATAATGTCATATGATCAGTAGCAAACCCAGTCGATCGCAAATCCTACGTGGCGGTCTTCGGGAGTTGCGTGGGGCTTTGGCATGCTGGCTGCAACGGTCACTTCAAAGGCTGCATGGGGCTCTGGCATGTCGGGTGCAACGGTCGCTTCGGGGGCTGCATGGGTCTCTGACATGTCGGGTGCAACGGTCACTTCGGGGGCTGCATGGGTCTCTGACATGTCGGGTGCAACGGTCGCTTCGAGGGCTGCATGGGTCTCTGACATGTCGGGTGCAACGGTCGCTTCGAGGGCTGCATGGGTCTCTGACATGTCGGGTGCAACGGTCACTTCGGGGGCTGCATGGGTCTCTGACATGTCGGGTGCAACGGTCGCTTCGAGGGCTGCATGGGTCTCTGACATGTCGGGTGCAAAGGTCACTGCACGGCGGTTGATTTCCAGTGGCACCGGCCGAACAGCTGTAGTTAGAACTGGTTTCAGTTCCTCCACGCGTTTGTTACCTTTACATGCACCCAGCTCTTCGTGCATCCGCACGGGGAAAAATCCAGCAGTGTGAAATCCTGCACGTCCACCTGCTATGGGTGTAGCGTGTCGCGCGAAAAAATGCGCTTTCCAAAGCGACGCTGGGCTCATTCGAGGGCCAGCAGACAAGAGCGTGATGGCGCAACACCCATTGTTGGCAGCACAGTGTCATACTAGCAGAACGCCGCTCATCTGTCTGCCTTCGGAAGGTGCTCAGTGGTGCTCTGCGCTGTTTCTTGTTTACAGATGCTGTAATGCTGTTTTTCCAAAGCAGCTGTGTGACTTGATTATGCCTTCATCAACAAAGGTTCAGAGTCATGCTGCTTTTCCGTTGAGCAGAAGCTTTCTGTCGGGTACTTCCTCTGGCTTGTTTCATGACTAGAGTCAGGAAAACTATAGTCCTTGGAAGGTAGCCAGAGTGGTGTGTATCGTGTTTTGAAATGTGTCTTACAGTCTCTCGAAGTACAGATGACGTACTTGGTCTTGACCGCGCCAACACTATTTTACGCATTTGTATTTTACTGAACGCAATGCAATCGCCGTCATCAATGTCGGCATGTCGGCAATACCACGAGCATGAAAAAGAAGAAGAAATTTCGCGGTCAACCGTATACTGCGGCGCAACAGCTACATGTTCTCACTTCTCGGTACATCAGATTCGTCTTATTCCATCGTAAATATGTGCAATGCGTTTGCATCAGCTTTATTCAAAAATTAAAATGGGTCAAATGACGACGGCATTAGACGTATACATAGCACATCAGCAGTATGATGAAAGCAAAAGTCAAGCTCCAGCAGTTTACTGGGGCTGAAAGGGTATACAGCGAAAAACAGCCTGCTATGTACATGCATTTTCTTGCGGCGTCCGATCCTGACATTCGTGGTTGTTGCACGCCTTAGGTAGTATCATCGCCATGGTAAAATGCGGTAACTTCCGTTCAAGATCACAATCAACTTCATTCGGATCTGCGCACAGTGGAGGTCTTCCTTGATGCACGCGAGGCATGCATGTTCACTCCCTTCCGACCCTTCCTTTGAATAATTTGCATCACCTAACTGAAAGGTGTTTCTGACTGTCTTTTGATGTCGCGATTTTTGACAGAAACGTTGTATGCGCAAGTCTCGGACTGCATCGAGACTCCTTGAAATAATATGCTGACATTCTCCACAATCCGTCTTGGGTTATCTTAAATCATCCATGATCCCTTAATGCAGCGCTGACAGAGGAAAAGCGGTATTCCGAAGTCATGTAAGCTGCAACTGATCGCCAAAGCACAAGCCATTCAGAAACCTGCAACTGAATAAATTGGTAACCTTACACTTAAACAAAGCTTACATGGTAGACCTTGCTCAAAATATGCGACTCTATACAGGACTTAAGTTGTGTGCCACTGAAAAGCTCTGAGTCCCATGCTATCATTCGTAAAATAAGTTCAAGGGAATGGCCGCCAAATCACTGAATAAAATCTAACTGCACATCTCTGAATATTTCTTAAACCGAAATACGATCCAAATTGCCAAATGCCAAAATGCCAAATTTACGATCACGGGCGATGTAAAAGACTGACAAGATCAATATGTACCTCCACCAAAAACGTTTAGGGAACACTGCGAAAGACTGGCGGTCGAAAGAGAAAGAAGTCGAAAAAAGGATTTAAGTGGCATCTTGTCATAAGTCACGCGTGAGACAAAACTAGCATGGCCACGCTTTTGTGAACCGAATCGAAACAAGAAGCCCCGTTTTCATCGTCACTTAACCTGTCTCTCGCAATGTTCCCAAATCTGAATAACTGCTCTGACACATCGGAGGTCTATCTACAGGCAGCACGTGCTGCTGGCGCCCGGATATCTGCCCGACCTGGTCTGACCTGCCCCGGCCAGGTGCCGAGGTCACCTCGGCAGACGGTCGTCGTCCGCCTGGAGTTTGTACTGAGCACCGGTCCGACGGAGTGGTGCGGTTCTCACGATGGCCACCACCGGCAATATCATGCCTCCCGCCGCACGACGGCTCCTTCCAGCCCGCTCACACTGCAACGCGTAAACCCTATCCTCGCGGGCCGTGCCTTGGCGGCGGTGATGGCGAAAGACAGCACTAATCATGGGGATCCGGGGCGCTTAAACTCGATCAGCGAGCGGATTGACTCTTGGGAATGGTAAAGGTGCGATCGGTGCCTTGCTCCGCGAATCCTCTGCGATCCGCGTCGAGCTGCTAACGGGGATTCCGATCGGAATGATATGAACCACGTCTGGGGCGTCCCAGGCGGCGAGGATTTTCCGGAGGCGCGCTTGGTCCCCCATATCAACACAACCATGTACGCATAACAAGAACAAGGAAACGCTACAGAGTCTAACTCCGTTTCTTAAGCGATAACAAAATCACAGAGCTATGGCAGCTAAGTTCCTGAGCGTGCTGCACTACGATAGCTCTAGTCTAATCGGTAACTCGTCACCATGGTAACAGTGTCGGTACGTCGAAGCCCGGCTCCTCGTCTATCGCTTGGTTGGCGGGGGCTTGGTCGAGCTGTGGATGTGCACGTGCTTGGCCAGGTGCGCCTTCTGACGGAAGCACTTGTTGCAAAGGTCACACTGGAACGGCTTCTCGCCGGTGTGCGTGCGGATGTGTACGTTGACCGAGTACTTGTCCTTGAAACCCTTGCTGCAGAGTGGACAGAAGTGCAGCAGGCGACCACGCGTGGCCGGTACGTCGCCATCGACGGAGCTGCGCTTGGCGTACTTGCGCTTGCGCCCGCCGTCCTTCTTCTGCGCTGCAGCGGCGGGTGGCGCACCGGCGCCGACGAATAGGTCACACGGCGCCTCCGCTGGCGACCGGACCGCCTCGGCGCGGCCGGGGCTGCACGTGCTCGTTGCGCGCGTGGTCTCGCACGTGTAGGGTGCGGCGCCGGCCGGCGGCGTGACCAGCTCGCCGCGCGCGAACGTCTGGAAGCCGCCCAGTGGGAAGCAGAGCTGGCCCGGCCTCAAGCCGGCGCCGACGTGCTTCAGCCCGCTGGAACGCGGCGTCGCCGGCAGCGTGCCGCGCAGCACGCCCTCCAGAATCGAGCCGTTCTCGGAGCCAGGCCACCGGACCGGCGCCGGCGCGGGGCACGCCGGCCTGTCGGCGTCGGCATCGAACGTGTCGGGCGCGGCGGCGGGCGGCACGGCGGCGCGCGCCGGCGCCGCGCCGACGGTGGCCGCTGCCAGCTCATCGAGCCGTGTCTGCGTCGACGCGTCGTCGTGGTCGTACAGGTAGTCCTCCATTAGCTGCTGCAGGTCGAGCTGCTTAGGGTCGAGCTCGCCGACCAGGCCCTGCACGGCCGGCAACGGCTGCAGCGTGATCAGCTCATCCGAGGCACTGATCGCGTCACCTCCCGTCGCCGCCTTCTCCGCAGCGTCTTCCACGACGTCCTCGAACATCTCCTGGTCAGCGGTACCAAAGTCGCCGGCGGCGCCGCTGCCGCCCGCCGTCGTGGTCACGTGCTCCACCTGCTGCTCGTGCTGCGCGTGCAGCATGTCGCTGCCCCACAGCGGGTCACACGTCTTCTCCTTGTCCTCGTACGTCCACTGCTTGACACCACTGGCGGTGACGCCCGCGAGGCCGCCTTCCCAAACGCCGTCGCCCGGCGCGGCCAGCGCGCTGCGGCACACCAGCGAGTTGAGCAGCTGGCTGATGTTGTTGTGAACGTCCATGTCGCTGTCCATGCCGCTGCTGGCCAGCGCGCAGAGGTCGAGGAACTCATGCGGGTCCGGCTTGACGGGGCACTCGGGCGGCGCCACCGCCGACGTCACGATCGTGTTGGAGAGCTGCGCCTCGTTTTTCCTGCGGACGAGAGAAGGCGTGCGTCAGGTGGAGGGCTGGTGGACGAGTGCGCTGTGCTTAGATCGCGCCCAGGTACTGGACAGTTACGAGTAACGGACTGTGAATGCTGACTGGGCTATTAGTCCTGGTCCTGTCTTGGCTGAGTTTGTTGGCTTAATTCTAGCCTCATCTGCAGAGAATGAGATGCATTTGATACTTCCATTGGTCACACTGAAATATATTGCACGCCGTGAACAATGTACGCGTAAGAAGACCAGGACATGGAGTGCACCATTTGTTGTTCACTACAGCGAACAAGGGCTTGCGCCGGGTTAAGGCAAGTAAGCATATCTCAGAATGTCTCTAAATAACTTAAGTTTCCATAATCACTTAACGGACTTCGAATGAAAGCTTATGTAATACCTAGTAGCCACTCGGACGTCTCAGACGCCACTTTTATTTTAGTTGGCATGATTAACGTTTGTGAATCCGTGGTCTGGCTCAACATAGCTAGATGAGTGTGCCTGCAATTCGGTGTCTCGGCGCCATGGTCTTAAGCGGCAGCCGGTAAGCTCGTTCCATCACGAGCGAAGACGTCTAGCCATACTATCGCGATGTTTAATTCTCATTGCGTGAGGGGCCAATGGTGTTAATGCCTAACTGCGGCCAGATAGTACCAAATACAGCCAAATGCCAGCTAGTTAGCTGGTGAATAGTAAGCAATGCTTACCTGTGGCACAGTGAATTTAGATCGAATTATATTTTATGTGATAGGTTCATTGTTTTTTGACGCATGGACCAGTCACGAACGAAAGCACGGAGTCATTTATTCATCCCCGCCGCGCACTTCGGATTAGGCTAGCGACTAATATTTCACATGAACCTGAAATGCAGTGGCGGCGCTAATGCACGTTACTTTTCGACGAACTTCAGTGACTTTCTCTTCTCCTCGCTTGTACAAATTGTTCGACGTTGATAAAAATACCAAGTGCACCGCGCGCACCAAGCCCTACAATTCGCTGCATTTAGGTACCCTAGGGCAGTGCCGTGACTCTGCAGCGAGGAACTGCCATTCATCTCGGCGGCATGTGGCATGTGTACTCTGTACCAAGGTGCACATCTCTGGTCGTGCCCTAGCCCGGCTCGTCCGGGTCGTGTTCCCTTGACTTGCATGAATGTGCCGGTTCGGCCACCACCTGCAGGTCTTGGGAGCATGCATTTTTCGATGGCAAGCTTTGCATTCGTAGGTGATGCGTTTCAGCAATGTGCTCTCCTCCTATCATATGCTGCACGCTCGACAGCGTCAGCATCTCAGCTACTCACATTGTCCATTCAATTCTGGTGTTGTGAAATAAATACCAAGCATTTAACTCTTGTAAAGCTCAGATTGATTAGAATGCCAACAACATGCCGATGTCAGGCTAGTTCGCGCTCATCAGTATTATAGTCATATTATAATGTGATCATGCTATTCTGCCCGTGCATAATGTGTATGAGGCGACCTGCATAGCAAGCACCAACCATCCCTCTCGTGCACGCCTGCGCATGGTAGGTTGCAGTGCATAACGCCATTGGTATAGTATCCGATGAAGACGAGTGTGAGCGGCTGCAGATCAGAGTAGTGACATTCACATCACAGTCGCGCAGTCCAGCCACTGGAAACAATGTCCTCGCGGTCCGAATCAGGGCTGAGCCACTGGGTACGCGATTTGCATTAACCAAGCCACCCGAGAACTGGCTCGTGGCACGGGCTTCGATTCCCCGCGGCGTCCGACCTTTCCGCCAGGGCGGGAGGTAGGCGACCCTATGAAGCCTCAGCCGCTGAGTGCGTCGTAAAACCCCTATGACCCACGCACACACGCATGACGGCTTGTTGGCCGTGATATACCAGTGTCCCGTGCCAGGCGTTGTCGACAGTTATCGGCCTTTTTACATCAATTCGGTGATTAGACATTTTGTCTCGTTGATCTTTTCCCATTAAACAGGATTTCAACCTTTCCAAATGTCTTGCAGTATGAACACCGCAATCATATGCAGTTTCGCAAGGGCGGAGTCAAAGACAAATAAGCATACAGGAAATGGCCCGTCATGGATCAACAACAAAGCCATAATCAGTCGGCGCTTCCTGGTTTGTCCAGACGCCAGTTGCAGCACTCTCCGCCCGCCTGAGGAGAGAGGGGCGCCGACCCTATCGCTGAGGAGTATTTGCACGCCTATGTTGACCTGCATGGCACACCCGCCGCTCACAGGCCGCTCTGCAGCAGCGGAACCCGTTCCGCACACAGTGTGGGGTCGGGCTGACCGGCAGGGAGCCGGCGCGGGACTCAGCTCCGCTCAGCCTGGGCAGCGCCGCCGGTGGAGGACTCTCACTTTCAGCCCAGCCGCCGGCCTCTCGGCACGCCAGGCAGAGCTGGCGCGACGCCAAGAATTCGGATTTCACTTTTGGTTTCGACCACGGCCGGTAGGCGGAGCTGGCGGGGCGATAGCCGAGCTGGGGCACTGGGCCGGCAGCCGGTCGAGCGCCAGCTGAGAACCATGGGAGGTTTGCTGGCTCCTTTTGCACGTGCAGGGCACTGCGTCAGAAGCATTTTGCGAATCAATGAAGTCATAATTTCCGAGCGACGTTAAATGGCTCTAATGTACAAGCTGATGATGAATCATCTGACCCAGCTGACTTGGACCAGCGACAACTAAGGTAGACAACGATCACAGAGGTGCGCAGAAACTGAAGAACTTGTGTTCAACGCGTCAAACAAACGACTTAATGACTCGCAACTCCAGCATAAATAAAAGGACCTCCGTTCAGCCACAGTCAATAAATGCAACTTGCATACGAACTAAGCTTGGAGGGTTATAAAATGATGGACATTCGACGTTGATACCCATATACAAAATTGCGTTGTTGTTTTATGAATGCAGTTCATGACATGCTCAATGATAGTTTGCTTTTGTGTTTGCCATAGTTGTATGGGGCGTTTGATTTACAAGTAATATTTTTGCTGCAGCCCTCAACAAATCACGGTACAGATGACCGGAATTTATGTCATCTATCGTTGCATCACGGGCGCATCTCGCCAAGCAATGCCGTTTATACAAACCAGTCATGTTACGGTGCATTACATAATGGCAGATCCGGTCTTGAGGCTGGAGGACAGACCATGCTCAAATGACATACCTACGTTTGCCTCGTCAAACGGTCTTGTCAAGAATTCCAGCATCGTCAGTTACGCCCAAAAATGGCATGCATAAACTCGTAAAACATACAAACATGGCACGCCATTTCACGGCACGTGTGCCGACGAGACAAAAACCCTTCTGCACGCGTTCACAGCCGCCTACCGCCAGCCTCTGGCCCAGCTCGGCTCCTGCTGCATGGGCTGCACCCCGGCCTCCGGTCTGGGACGCCGACCGGTACAGCTCCGGACTCGCACGTGAAGCACGCCAGGGCGGGCGGGCGCACCCCTGTCGAGCGGACACCGGACCGGTGCGGCTCCCGGCACGGCCTGCCGCCGCCGCCGCGCCCGCCGTTGTTAAGCCCTGTGGCCGACGCCGCCGGCCTGTGTTAGTGTCGTATGATTTTTGCTGGTGCGGTCCCCACGGTTAGGCGCTACCCAGCACTGCAGTCGCCGACCGCCGCGCGTGGCGACCGGCCCATTCGAGTTGGTCTGCATGGAAATGTGCTGTTTGCAGCCGCGGTGGCCTGGCCCTTCTGCGATCGTTGTCAGGCGTTGCTGGCTGCGCTGGTGGCATCTACGATGAACATCCGTGGCTGGCCAGCGTTTGGCGCGCTAGCGGGCTACAGTGCACCACAGACCGCCGGATTCAGAGCGCCCGAGTGGTGACACGGTATTGGAAGGGTCGTGACCTAACCTGTCCAAGACCAGACAGTAATTGTGAGACTCTGAATTGGGTGTCGTGCATCGCGATGATTTTTCGTGCAGTTCTGGCCACCTCGTAGGGCTCTGAGCATGTTTTCCAGTGTAAAATGCGTGACAGGGAGCCACACTGGGAACCATGCTGTAATCGTTGTCCAACTTCATTGGACATAAAACCAGGCGAAAACTGGTTCAGAACACCGATTTTGGATCCATAAATAGTACAAAACGTCGATACGGGCCTCGGGCCCTTTGACAAAGCCCATTTCGTTGCGGGAATACTTGAACGCAGCGGTAGTGTCAGTATGCGACAGATAATGATACCGGCCTCGTAAAGTGCGATGCAAAAAATATCGCAGCATGAATGTCGACCAGTAGCACAAGATCGGAAAAGAGCCTGCAACTGTGTGCCCTGTGGCCAACCTCAATTTTTCCGTGGGTCCAATGCACTTACAGACACATGGCATGATATGTGGTCAGACGGGGATAGCGCAAGATGATGAAAAGTCGACGATTCAACTCCAGACGACTTTATTGTGCATTCGTCAATGAATTCCGCGTCACGCCGTCTTAGAGCAGCTCCATGTATCTGTAGGTTTATTGTGACCGCACGCCGCGGCAGTGGGAGAAGTCAAGGTACCAAGCTTCACAGTGCGGTCGCGAAAGGATGAACGTACCGCGGTCCCGTTGAAACATCCCTACCACGAGGCATGTTACGGTGACCAAGCGGCTGAGAATAGCAGGGGAGAGAGGGCCTGGCCAAACAGCTCGGATGAGAAGGCGAAGGGCTCCTAGGAAGGGAAGGCGACTAGGAAGTGATTAGCTGATCTGGCTGATGATGATACGATTCTGTTTCGTTACGTCCTCTTGACGTTCAGGACGGCTGGGGTGGCATGCATGAGAACAGTTATGAATAACCAACCTGTTTGTCAGGTGTATGGACAGTTAGCTTCCCGAAATGCGGCCAGCCCACGTTTTCGTCCATTTTCTGACAGGTTGCCTGCGCCTTTCTTCCATATCTCGACCGATCGCAATGCTCGGGCCGTCGACTCCACGACATGACCCGCACCGCAACAAACGGGAACGGTGGATTAGCTGATATGGCCCTGATCTGGCCGGCGGCGGGGAGTTTCTCTCGGCCATGCG